TAGCGGCTGGAGTGTGAGGCCTCTGGGTCCGAGTTTCGGGAGGGAACAGAGAGAGGGTAGCAATGGCTTGGTCACTGCCATTGTGGTTGCGAAGGTGAGTTTGGGGTGGGGTGGGTTTAGAAGATACGATGATGAGGGCCCATTGAGGAATTGGTTAGGGGTTTAACGGGTGGGATTTGATTGGGTTGGAAGAGACGGTGGATGTTTGCTGAGGGAGCATGTGGTGTGGTGTGGTGGGGTGCGTTGGATGGTAGTGTGGTGAAACCGAAGCCAAAATGGTGCCACGTTTGCGTGTGTTCAGAATTGATGATGATCGCACATTTGTGGATATGCTGGCCTCGGAAGGAAGAAGCGCGTGAGTGTGAAGGGTGAAACGCTTGATTTATGTGCGAGTATACTTTAGTCTCGTGATGAACATTGAATCTAGGTCTTTATGTTTTTAACTATTCAAACTCTTTTTTACCCAACTACGAGACTAACCTAGTAGTTTAGTATACTTTAGTCTTTACACTCTCTTATTTATTTATTATTATTTTTTATAAACATATTCATGGACTATCAACTACTGATCTAAGAGTGAGACTGTAGCGTGTGATGAGTTAAAATTTAACACTAACAAGACATTAATAGGAATTGATCTAAATTATTCTGTTTCAAAATTTGTTAGGTTATTTAGTTAAATTAGAGACTCGGTTATATTAATTTAATTAAGAATAAAACTTAAATATAATTTTTTAAGTGTAATTAGTACTGTTTTCGGTTAGAATTGGATACTTATTTTCGTAATGTGTAAATTTATATTAAAGAAGCATTGAGTGCAAGTGCACATTATTGAGATAGATCTCTAATTCTGATTAAAAAATACACTCATGCAAACTACAAAATTGTATTTAAGTTTTATCTTTTAATTAATTATAATATTATATAAATCTTAATGTACCTGTCTGAGGGTATACTTGTAATCTTCTAGTGGGTAAAGGGCCGAACGAGAGCTTCAGGTGGATGCTTCATAGGGGGAGGTACCGGCAAAAGGCACTCTGACGTTCAAGTCAGGACAAGCACGATTCTCTAGGGTAATAAAATGAACAGTGACATACCTCGTTTCGTGTGACTTATTTATAGTACCTGTCATGGGCTTGAGCATGGTGGGTCTTTTCTAACACTTACCAAATTAGGTAATACGATGTTAATCGACTGGTTATGTTCTAATTACGTGTTGTCCCTTGTTAACCATGATTATCATTATAAGTATTCTGTTGGTCCTTGGCCGAGCCGATAGAGTCGGCCGAGAGGACCTTTCGGCCTATGATCGAGCCGATAACGGTATCCGAGCCGAGATGGTGTCTGAGCTGCATCAATGTGTGATTGGACATGACGTTCCGGTCCACGTGGCCAATCCACGTGGCCGATAGGACCCTTCCGGTACACAAGCCCCCCAGCCTTAAGGAGTGAAACGACGCCAAGGGTAGGAATGACTTTGCAGTTGTGGCGGTTGGGTTAGATTGTGGAATTGTAACCGTTAAGTATTAATCGTGGGAACGTGGAGGGTTATAACCGTTGAGTAATAAACTTGGGAACGTGAAGGGTTATAATCGTTGAGTAATAAACGTGGGAACGTGAAGGGTTGTAACCGTTGGACATTAATGATGGGGGATTTGAAAAGTTGTGGCTTATGAGTCGTTGGATCAAACTAATCCAAGGTTCGTAGGGGTGCGACGGTTATGGTTCGTCCATTGAGAACATTATAAATAGGGGTGGTGGGGACCAATTCTTGGTGTGTTTACTTAATTGTAGCGTGCATTTGCTCCGAGCTGACGTAGAGACCAAGCTTGTGTGCTAGTTACCAACCAAGAGCGTCCTCCTTTTAAGGTACGTTTTGATGGCTGATTTTGAGATAGAGGTAGAGGATAGGGTTTCCCAAGCTGGTTCCATTGGGGATAGTGGGACAGATTCTGCCAATGCGAGTTCGCGTGAGCCTTCGCATCCACCTGAAGCTCTCGTTCGGCCCTCTACCCACCAGAAGATTACGAGTGTACCCTCAGACAGGTACACTTAATAATGTGTATAGAAATAAAAATGAAAGTTAATTTAATGTATGCTTTTTAAATAAATCGGATGCATCTGTATATTTTGTTTAAAAATAAAAATAAAATAAATATAATAAATAGTTAAAATTGAATATAAGTTACTTGTTAATAATTAGAGTGCTCGAGAATGTGTTCAAAAAGTAAAATGGAGGTAATTATAAAAGTAAAATGGGGCAAAACAATATATATATATATATATATATATATATACTTCACAAGAATTAGTAGGTAATTAGAGATTTAGAGGGTTAGAGGTTTGAAAATAAAAATTACAAAAAATAGAGAAGAAAGTGAGTAAAAGCTAAACAAAAAAGAAAGATTATAGAGAAAAAGTACTTTGAAAGTTACATAAATAATCTATACTACTATAAGTTATACTTATATATAAAGGAAGGGGTACATGAATTTATAACTATTTTTTAGTCTCCACACTATTTAGACAATTTTACCCTTAAGTCTTTAAACAATAAAATCCTTAAGTCTTTAAATAATAAAAAATAATATTAAAATTAATCATCTGTGTAATCACTCAAATAAGTTAACTACTTCAATTTTTAATCACTATTATTACTTAATCTTAATTTTTATTTTAAAATTTTTAAATAAATATAGAGACATGGAGTGGTTTGACTCCACTAGTAAATATAAAAGAGATACTCCTCTTTAGTTTCTAGTATTTATATCTCTTTATTAAATATTAATATTTTTTTCATAATCATATCTCTTAAGAGTAAAATAGAATATATATATATATATATATATTCAAAAAATTAACTGTTCATTCTATCATCTATAATTTATAACTATATATAAAGGGATATTCACTTATTTGGTCAAGCCTAACACAAGAAGAAAATTGATCAAACATAAAGACAAAGCATGATCCAAGTCAGATGAAAGGCCAACACAAGTATCAAACAAGGCCAAATCAAGAACAAGACAAAAGTGGGTTAAGCACCAGATGAAGTTCGTACATGTCAGATGAATCTTAACGCACTACAAGTCAAAATCTTGAAGCATCAGACGAAAGGCCAAAACAAGCATCAAACAAGGCTAAGTCAAGAACGAGACAAAGTTGGAGCTTAATGGTCAACTAAATGAAGGTCACAGCATCAAACAATGGATAATCTAAGACGAAGAAACATTCCAGATAAAATTAAAAGTCTTCCATCTACACAACTGATCTGACGCAATGAAAAGTCAAAGTCTATCTCTTAGACGGAGACTCAAATTCCAAACGCAGTCGAAGAATATTGAAAAGCGTCTGAAATCTACTATTTACAATGAGAAATATCATATATCGCCTTCACTCATAAGAAGAACACACGAAGTCATCAATATGGTGTAAAGAAAGAAGAAAAATAGACGAGCGCGAATCCATAAGTCAAAGCAAAGCAAACCACGAGTATCAGACAAAGCAAATCAAATAATGGATGGAATACAACATGTGCGCCAGACTATAATGAATCAAATAACAAACTAAGGTATGTTAAGGACAACCTAAAGCGCAACATAAAGACACAAACGAAGATTGGTCAAAGAGCAAAAGAAAGTCAACAACATATCAAACGAAGGACAACATAGACTAAAAAGTATTCTAGACGGAAACAAAGTATGTCCATTCACAATATTGACCAGACCATAAAAAGTCAAAGCATTAAGGAAAAATACTTAGACGAAGATCAAGACTTGAGATGCATATGGAATATTAGACGTAGAAGAAGACTACCACGAAAGCATTTAAAGAATTAAGTCTCAAGGGACAACTCAGACATCATCTACGATCAAACGGAAGCTCTTAACATGATCGCGTGATTAAAAGAAAAGACAAAGAAGAAGAAAAGCACACAAAAGTATAAGCATGCATGTGTCAAAAAAAGTACATTACTTTTTCAGATAAAGACAATGCTCTACAGCTACGCAACCGAAAAAGAACAAAAAGTTCCTAGGTCTCAGTTAGAGTCAGACACAGTTGCTAACAAATGTAGAAGACTTCACGCAATGTCTATAAACAGGAAGTAACATTTAATACAAAGATCTTGTGCATTAAATGAAAGATCAAACTAGTCATGAACGACTACATCCGCTTCAACGAATACTTGTAACTGGCAAATTTTACAAGACTATATATATATATAT